CATGCGCGAGTAAACTTGAAAACACTAGGCTAGTGTTTTCAAGTTTATGACTCCAAGTTGGCGCGACATAAATCAGCTCGTAAACGTAAACAGATCTAGAATATTCCAAAGTGTGTCAAAAGCACCACAAAATGATTTACCTCGAAGGTAATACTTTCAAAGTCCGTTAGAGGTGAGACTGTTACCGCGCATGTCATCCATTGACAGTGTCCCTTTAATGTCCGTGCCGTTTATCCGCTCAATGAACTTGAGGGATCTTCATGGTACATGTGAACTTGTTTTTAAACAATCTCTTTTGACACACTAAGACCAAGACTTTCAATGAAACATGTTTCGTCTACTGACCTTTTCAATCATTGGTACGTTACGCAGTTGATTACGTTGAACTTGATGGAGTATAAGATACAAAATTGTTAAGGGGGTACGACCAGTGCTTGTTAACAAGTTATCGGTCCTAGCTTCCATATCAGCTGGGKTTTTTTTCTGCTGTAGTCTAGACTCAAAATTTTTCGTCGTTCACTATAGTTTTCACTAGCTCACAAAACTTCGTTGTCATTCATCAGTCTTCGGTTGTTCGGATCCTCGCTCATGTTCTCCAACTCAACCATCTTATTAAATATTATACTTGTCTGAATTGAAAAAGGACAACCTATATTCAACTTAATATTCATAATGTATTTCAGGACAAGTTTAACGTTTTTACATGAGCTAAAACAAAATTAAAAAAAACATTCACAGTTCAAGTGCTCAAGAAATTAAATAAGTATATATACACAATAAGTATATATACACAAAAGACTCTGTACTCCTTATACTCGCATATATGTAAATTTCCTTCACTCTCCTGATGATGTCGGCGACCGACGAAAGCTTGAGAAAATAAACTCATCACAGCAGTAGCGTATGGCCCAATTTCACACTTTATATTGCACAACACGATGCTACTAAAGGACAACTTCATTACTTATATAAACTCAGATTATTACTTTTAAGAGAGAAATTATGGACTTGAAAGAATTTACTAATAAACACAGATTAAAAACAAAACTGAGAATCTGTTTTTAGGTTATTCTCTCCTGGGGTATAGTAAATTTAGTTCAGAATATCCATTGGTCGTGACAGCTTGTTCTTAATAGTACAATCGGCAAAAAACTGTAAAGAAAAAACCCTCGGTCAAAATACCAAATCCTTTTTGTATTTAGCTCATGTTATCCAGATACCTCTACTATAATATTATTTACGATTATATGCTGATTCTGGTTGGTTATTAAGCTTATATCGCGCAACAGACTAAGAGCTACAAAGCAACTGTTACAAAGAGTCGGTTTTTGAAAGTTGAAAGGTCACGCCTTGTATTTYTAACAAAAGGCGCATAATGTGCCAAAGGGGTCTAGCAATGGCAGTAGATATTCAGCTCGATCAGATATTTAAATAATTAAGACAGAATGGAGCTTTGCTAATCTATCTTGTTCGAAATATGTTACATCAATGCCATGGGGGAAGCTTTGGCGAGCCAATGGCTTCGTTAGGTAGGGGCCTTGATCGATCGCCCGYTCTMTTGGGAAGGACCGCTTCGCATGGACACAACTTAAACCTGTTTGGGAACTTCGGTAGTCCCAAGGAACGAAAAATATCGCCAACTCGAGGAGGATCTCTCGATTTACCTTCTAAACATGGCAACGACAGTCTCAAAGTGAACGTTAGTGGAAAGATTTTTGAGTTTTTTCGCCACGAGCTAGAGGTCTATCCTCAAAGCTTGCTAGCGAAGCAGTCGCGCGCCGGAAGGTATTATGATTTTGACCGAAAGGACTACTTCTTTGATCGAAGTAGGCTAGCTTTTGATAGTATCTATTGCTTTTATCAGCTACAGGGAGCACTGGTCTTCCCTGAGAACTATCCAGAACAACTTTTAATGGATGAATTTTACTTTTTTGGATTGTACGATTACCTTAGCTCAAAAGAAAAAAAGCTACTAGTCAAGCCAAGTCAACTAAATGAGGAAGTTCACGATATATCACCAAAACGCGAATGGCAGATTTTTCTATGGCATCTACTTGAACACCCGGATCGCAACTTAGGCTGTAAAATCTTCAGCATCATTACTCTAACGTTGATTGCTTTCTCTATAATAATTATGTGTATAGATACGATTCCAGCCCTTGGAAACCAGCAACAGCCAATATCCACTTCTGAAAAGGTCAACAATACTTCTATTTCAAAATCACAATCTCASAAAGYGATGGGAGAAGAACTTTTTGCAATGGAGACCTTCTGCATTGTCTATTTTACTTTAGAAATAGCATTAAGATTCATCGTATCGCCTATTAAACTACGTTTCTGGTTGAAAGGTTTAAATTTAATCGATTTGGCTGCTATACTTCCATATTACTTCATTCTTGCTCTTGAAGAAGTCTACAGTGGAACAGCCATCGTTGCTTTAAGGATGTTCAGACTTTTTCGGGCATTTAGGATACTGAAGGTGTCTAGATACATCTCAGGAATGCAGGTACTGGGCCAGACCCTACGGGAGGCCTTTAGTGATCTCTGGATGATAGCCTTCTTAACAGTGATAGGGACACTACTGTTCGCTAGCTGTGTGTTCTACTTTGAGAATATCTGGGATCCTGGCACTCAGTTCGAGAGCATTCCTCTTACATTGTGGTGGTCCATCGTCACTATCTCAACCATTGGATACGGCGACATGGCGCCTAAAACATTAGGTAAGATTTTCATGCGCTAATCTTTTACATTGATAGAACATTGTAATTTTCAAGGGTAGCTTCGTGTTACAATCTATTACTTGAAAGCATTTTCATTACCAAAGGCAAAAAGCGTCAATTTCCGCTCAGATTTAAGTTCTTCTACAAATCTTTCAATGCTAAAAAAATGTATAGTTTAATTTCGCTCCRAAAAAARARRMGMRRARAWAYASAGGCGGACAATTGACCTTGATAAAGCGAGCGATTTTGACCAGTATTGTTTAGTACGACGCTAGGGGGTTTAGGTTTGGAGCCGACATTAGTAGAACCATGGTTAATGATATTTCGTACCTTGAAAAACGATAATCAATGTTGTATTCGCTAGTATTTGTCAAATCCGTACAGYTAATAGCTAAAGTTATAAATTAATAGATTCCATTTATCACTAGCTGGAAAACTAGTCGGGTCGATGTGTGCGATATCAGGCGTTCTACTGATTGCTCCGCTTTTGCCGATTGTGTACGAGCGATGGCAACGTTACTACCAATTGGACCGAGATGGAAAACGAATCAAAGCAGGGCAAAATCTTCTGCGTGAAATTGAAAAACGAAGAAAARCGAAGGATTCTAAGAAGGATAAAAAACGTGAAAAATCTGAAAGGTCTAAAGGCGAGGGCTCAAAGAAAAACGGTGATGTTAAGGTAAGCCAAAACAGTCACTTTAAAATGGAGGATGACATACAAGGGTGTCACATATAGTCAATAACATCACGCCCCCCTTTTCAAACCCCCACCTAATACATTAAACTTTGTCTCACTGTATATTCTAATAAACTTATAAATAGTGCGAGTGTGTGGTTGACTCTTACCTTGACTTTGTCAAAAACGGTCGCAACATCGATCGAAGCAGAGATGAAAACTTGGTACTCATCCCACACGTGGCGGCCTCTAGGTGATTTTTCAAAACGAGTTCCAAATTGTCATCTTCTTTGCTTGATATGTGAGTGCTGTTCGTTTGAATACAGATTATAAAAGTCAAATAAAAACGTGTGAATCTGACCTCGTTTTCTACCCCTGGATTCGCCACTGCATACTGTATYTCTTTATACCTTTTAAAGGAAAATGATGCAATTRCCAAAAAGAGAATWTSCATGGAMCAAGAGAATAAAGAAATAGAAATGCTTGAAGAACACGAAGTAAAGCCAGGTGACGACGTAGTTTGGACGCACATCAAACGAGCAAGCTTAAAACGAAGAGAAAGCAGTCAAAACATGCTTAAAAATGACGGGAAATCTAATCCTCCKCAGAARGGTTCTAGGCGTCCMGAGTCATCTCGCAAAGGAAAAGACATTGCAAAGACAACAATTAAACCAGAGCCGGCCAGTCCTGCTGCAATAGAGACCGAACCAATCGAGGACAGGAAACCAATATTCACGTTYACTGATGAGAAAGGCGTTGATAGGGACTGGGACCAACCTGGACCAAGTAACGTGATATATTAGGCGCGTGTGATTGGGTGATTTAAATTGATTGACAGTTGTTGCTGTTGGCAATCGAAGTTCAATCGAAATGCTAATTTACAATGCATTTGGATTGTGAGTTAACCAGTTTAGTAACCTGTTAAAACTGGTTTTGGTTSCTGTCATACTGATWCTGAATTCGRTTCCATCTGTCATATGTGACGTCAAAAGGGGAGTCATTGTTGTCCCATATAAGGTAGTATTYACTAGGTTGCGGAAGACCATGTAGCTATTACTAAATATAAAGATGGCCAAACGGCTTTCAAATTCAATCTCGAGCCCGGAGTCTTCACGGCTAATGTCAGYAGTCTGGTGACGCCGCAACTCGTCTGGGGTAATCCATTGAATTGGCTTTTCAGTCGCAAATTAGACTAGAGTTTGTTTTCCGTTTTTTTTTTTTTTATGAAGATTAATAAAGTTATAGCAAATATTTAAGTTTAGGAATGTTATTTAATGTTACAGTATTTTTTTATTTTTGTTTTGAAAAAATGAAGCGAGCGCGCTGGCGGCCTGAAAACCCAACTTGAAAACAATGCGCGCGCGCTCGTGTCATTTTCAACCAATCACRAATCCAGAAATCAGATAACATAACCCCCCGCAAGGTCTCTCACGTATTGACATCCGCTGGATGACAAGAGTGTGGGCTCTGGGTAGGAGATTGCTTCATATATTGCCCATAAAATATGACAGCAGGCSAGGAGATAGTYCAATGTTGTTTTTGAACGTTTGAMGGTCTTTATCCAGCATGTTTGATAATCAAGACAACAATCATCATACCGTACATAAATGTGTATTGATCGAATTATGAAAATTATAATACTGAATACTAAGACTTCAAAGAACTTATTCTAAGGATGTACTAATTAATAAAAATATTTTACACATTTGAACTTAGTTTAATTCTTGATTTTGTGCTACGTGATCAAACTGCTATCTTATTTGTCTCTTGCGTATCTTAAAGAAATAAAGTMCTTTTTTGGTTCACCAATCGTTATTTCTGAGATGGACATAATATAATTTACTTGTTCTATTTTATTTCTTGCAATTATAATTGATAATGTGGTAATAATTATGATTTAAAATTAAATAAAAATATATTTTTGTTCCCGCTGACATTTCATATATTAAAAGTCAATTCATCTTACAGATAAATATATTATTGTGTGTTCCGCAAATTGGATTTTGATCTAACCTAAAATAAACTACTTACGACTTAATGGCCAAAAGCAAACACAACTTTAATGAKATCAAAGATGTATAAAGTTTACAATCAAACAGAATCGCTCGTTGTTAAGGCAGTCGGTAAACAAAGGTGACATTTTAAGCTTATCGAAGTTGGTGTGACGTAGTATCATGGCACCATGTCCGTTCTGGAATCAAACTCCAACCGTTGTAATGACGGTTAAAAATAATTTATGAGTTATTCGTGTCTATTAAAAGTATTTTATAGAAATATCAACTAAAACAGCCTAAAAAATGAGCGGTTTATCTTCACCTTGAGATTATTTAGCTGAACAAGTGTACAATCAAAGTTATTGCAGTGAAAAAAATAAAGATGACCGTCTTTGAATGTCATTTTTACGCTATTTTACTCAATAACTTCGGAGTTTGTAACTTCAATAATTTACAAGAATATCTTTGTGGCATTTATTACTGGTTTTGCCTATTTTTGTTGTATTGTAAGGTCTCWTTCAAAAGCAGTTATGCTGTTTGTTTTACTCTGACAGCAAAATGAAGTATAACCGCCATGATATCGCTGTTTGCAGAATGCTGACAGTTAAGATCTGAGATTTCCGTTAGTGTAAAACACTATTGAATACTCTTTTATTAATACAAAGCACTCTTAAAAGCTCGTAAAGAATTTACAAAAAGAAAATTTTCAGGTAAGATTTTTAAGGTTTTGAAACTATCAGGGACTCGTCTTGAAGAGCTCAGTCAGAACTCTACATCACTCTTATTTGCAATTTTCTATTGAATGTTTTTTTCAACCTCATTTATTTACTCAAATAATTTAAACTATTAAAACATCAATAAAATACATTAAAAAAGCATTAAATAACTATGTTTAAAATAATATGATTATTAAACGCCCGTTAATGAAGCTACTTTGCTTCCATATGTATAGATAAGTAATGATAAATGCTTTGGTAGTTGGACAAAATACGTAGAATATTTTATGSAGTTATCAACATATCAACACCTTATTTCATTCAAAAATTGATTGTTGTTTGTTTATAAGAACTGATTGTGAGATCAAAAGGGCAGCTGGGGACGTCATTTGTAGAATAAAGAGCCCTGAATAACCGTTTTAGCCGTTAGTTAGTACACGCGCCTTCAAAGATGAACAGCTCCCAAGCCATTCGCCTKGTTGTACTTTTGCTTGCTTTTGCAGTTTTTGAAACTCATTCAGGTACAAYTCAATGTTAATTATTCCTTTTTCTAAATCAATGCGAACGTGTAGCTTATAAAGGTTATTTARGTAGAATTTTCTGAGGAAAATGTTGTCTATTCTAGCGCGCAAAMGAAATCAAATTRAAAAMAAAATCGTTTTTTTAAGCCSAACAGACATTAAACTGAATTTTACTAGTAATTTCTTTTCTTATAGTTGATAAATATCGATCTGTTGGCTGCTTCAAGGACTCTATGCGTTCTCCTCGCCCTCTTCCAAAACTTCTTTCARACTTACGACMTCTGATCAACAAGAAATGGGACAACCTTCCCCAAATAATTCAAATGTGCGCGAATCTTGCCAAACGTCATGGACATAAWTTTTTTGGGATTGAATTTTACGGAGARTGTTGGTCGAGTGAAAGTGGGAAAGGTTATGACAAAGACGGCGCGTCCTCTGAATGTGTTCTTGGCGTTGGCAAAGCGGGAGCTATTCAAGTGTACGAACTTGAAGGTATATGCATTTTTAGGATTCTCACGTTTGGATGTCAGGATTCCGTGCGCTTTATAATCTTGGAAGAACTTCAACAAAGGATTTCTCATTAGTATTATCTATTGTTCATTCCTCCAACATGGCCGCCGGTCTTTYATCTTTTGAATCTCATGGGAATGGTTGAAAACTATCAATACTCATTTTGGGAATCTCGCTTACTAGTCGTGGAGGTTGGGGGAAGAGTTGAAGGGTTGGAGATGGGGAGGTTTGGATGAATTTATAAATATCTAGCCACTAGTAGAAAATTCGAACATTCAGAAGATTTTTGAAAAATTAGTTATATGATAAAATTTTTTGATCAAAACAGCTTCATTTGACAGATGACTTCATCGGGGATGCAGTATTTCTTTACATTCGAATTCGTACTGAAATAATATGATAAAGCATTTTTATTTTGGTGGCAGATCATTTAAAACTGTGCTAATTGAGATTAATATAATGTTAACAGGGCCGTTGATCTCTTTGCATTATGGCAGGGAATATAATTAAAACATGTCTAACTTTATTTTGTATTTGATAGTATCCTATTTCCAAATGAATACATTAAGAGTATCCTATACCTTCAAATGACCGTAATTAAGAGAATCCTATTTTCAAATGACCGTAATTAAGAGTATACTATTTTCAAATGACATTAATTTAGAGTGTCCTATTTTCAAATGGCCGCGGTAATTAAGAATATCCTATTTTCAAATGACCGTAATTAAGAATATTCTACCTTCAAATAACCGTATTAAAGAGTATTATGTTTTCAAAATGCTGCATTCATAAGAGTAGTCGACCACGTGTTCATGYGGTACTGCCCGCCGCGGAGGGACGACAATTGACTATGATGAGGGTGCTACAGGGTCTCATGGCCAACACCTTTCACTTTCGAGCTTTTGTTCATATTTTTTTAATATATTTTTTCTCTGAAAGTACCATTATGACAAGAATTTTACCTTAAAAAAATCCTGCAAAAGYTTGATTATATAAAGAAATTGTGGAATTGAAAATTAAAGTATGGGTCGATCGCTAGTTTAAGGATACAGCTTCTGCGCTCGCTCCAATCTCGTTCCAGAGCCCGCGTTCCTCTTGGCCTGAGGGCGCAAGCAACCACGTGCTCGCGCCCTCAGGCCAAGAGGAACGCGGKCTCTGGAACGAAATTGCGCTCGCTCATAAAATATTGTTTTCATGTCTCGAAAATAAGATCCGTGCGAACGTGTAATATTCTCAACGTATATTTTATTTGATTCAGTTCCAAATGTCAAGTGTGGAGTAAAGSGCATGTCACGTATCATCGGGGGMGATAACGCTGGCCGCAATGCTTGGCCATGGCAAGCCGAACTTCTGATGTACAACAAAGAACAAAATAAGTTCCTTCATAGATGTGGCGGGACGTTGATCAATCCCTTTTGGGTTGTCACAGCGGCGCATTGTGTATTTCAGAATATCGATCCTAAGAACTACAAGATTAGACTTGGTAAGGACT